ACGCACGAATAATAGATATTAGTATTATTATTACCATTAGTAATACTAGAAGTAATATTTGTAAGTGAGACAGCAGTCCGCCAATAAAGTGACATACGATCAGACGGTCTTGTGATTGAGGGTGTTCCCAAGTATTTGGATGTGACACCCCAAAATAAATCACTACTCTCTTGACACTGGCACACCCTCATGAAGAGAGAGACATGCGTGAGTAGATAGAGGACATAACACCTTGTAAGTGTCAGGCAACTGACAAGCAAACCTGTTGTAACAAACGGAATATTCAATCTTAATTCATCATTACTCATGCATTTGCAGGTTTACGTCAGGCATTTGATGATTATAGTCGGAGATTGAGAATATTTTCAAATCTCTAGTACTACTCCTACTATTTTGACCTTCCTTTGTTTTTACTCTGTGCTCAGCTGGCGTAATGACATCTTTGATCTAATTCCAAAAATGCTTCCATTTTCGATTTTCTCACTTTAATAATTATGATGGTTATTTTAATAAATCTTCATCCCAGTAGAATATGGACGTTCTGTCTAATTCTAACATCTTCCTCCAAAGGTAGGCGATTATTTTCTATTCTGATATCTAAAAAAATAATTTTTACTGCTTTTAAAATGTTAGTCTTGAATAGATTTTTAACTAAGTTATTTTTAATACTCGTTCTTTTGAGAGAAGTATATTTTTATGAAGGCCAGACAGTTTGTACAAAAAATTGTTATATTTGTATATCTTTTTCGGCTCAGCTGTAGTGGCTTGTTAATTATGACGCCGCAAAAAAGAAATTCTTCTGTATTAAAGACCCTTTTTTTGTCTTCCACTAACATGACTGATGTTAATCTCCAGAACAATAACTTTCTGTGAACTTCTTGCTCTTACGTTTTGCACTGATATAAAGTTGAATGATTATATTCAATGATTTGGTAAATCTGCTGCTAGGAACGTCGTTTCATTATGTCATGCTAAAAAATGTTCTCACCAGAATCTATCTTGCATCTTTATGAGTTAACTATTCTTCTGTGCATCGTATAAAGATGCTACATTTGGCCTAGTACTTCTGTTATATATCTAGAGATTCTCCACAAAATCCAAAGAAAAATCTGCACCTGGTATCTGAAGAGAAACTTGAAGCAACAGAAATGTAGTTCAGTAGAATCACGCGGAGAATAACATGGACAGAACATGTGAGCAACGAAGAAGTTTTAGAGAAAAGGAAACAAAAAAAGATACCTATACTAAAGAGTTGAAATTTCTAGGAAACAATGAGGAAAGAGGGCATGGAAAAATTAACACTCACACTTATTAGGAGCTACAAAGGAGAGGACTTTGTGGAAAGTCATAATCGCCAACATCCTGGAGGGACACGGCACATAGAAGAAGAAGAAGAAGAAGAAGAAGAAGAAGAAGAAGAAGAAGAAGAAGAAGAAGAAGAAACATATAATAAAGGTTTAAGTAATGTCAATCGAAAAAGTGTGCATCTTAATTTTGTTTAAAATTCGAGCTCCTGGTTGCATTGTCCATGTTTAGAATATTGTAACCACATATGGTCCGGTGTCCCTGCTATTTACCTTGAACTCCTTGATAAAATCCAAAGAAGAATCAGCAATATTATTGGCGGTCCGATTTCAGTCACTTTTAAACTGCCGCAAGACCGCTTCTCTGTTCCTTTACTGTAAATATTTTTATGGTAATTGTTCGGATAAGCTCTTCACTGTGGTACGTAGACTCTTTGAATTTAAGCGCAGTACTAGACTAGTTTCGAGATCTCATCAATTTATAGTTGAGCTGGCTAGATGTCACCGTAAGTTCTATGTTAACAGTTTCTTTTCTCGCACTTTTCACTTGTGGAACTCCCTTTCAGCTCCATGATTTCCAGCCAACTTTAATCTGAAAAAAATTTAAATGCAATGTCAATCGCTATCTACTATCCTCCTGATTACTGTTTCCTTTTCACACTCATTATTAATGTTTCTGTTTCGAATTCCTCCACACCCGTATCCCCTCGTGTCTTAGTGGTTTTACTGTCTTGTATGGGGTGATTCCGATTAAAAAAAAAACCCACTTTTATTGTGTTGGAAGTATAAAGAGCTTCACTGCTGTTGAATAATTGCTGTAACTGATCACAAATATTGTATATAATTCTCATGGATTCTGTCATAGTCTCGGTAACTGACATATTCACATAATCTCTGCATTAATTATCTCTCAATAAACTATCTACGAATACATTCACTACCTCTGGAGATTTCATTATATATTTTCTTACTCTCCACATCCCATGACTCTCACAAGAACAGTTCATTGAGCGAGGGCGTGATACCTATCAAGCATAGATAATATGAAATAGGAATTTTCCACGTCGTTAAATAAATTCTTTATAGGAATTTAAAAAGTAATTACGTGTAACCAAAACCGTATCGAAATCGTCTGGAAACTTTTGATGTGCCATTTAAATAAATTAGACGTAAATAATTAAAAAGGAAAAGCGCTTGAGACGAAGAGAAAAAATGAAGGCGGAATGCGTGGGTTTGTCTTGAATGTTTCAAATCTCAGTGTCGTTCTATGCCTAATTAAAATTACTTTTTTGTCAGAGAAACATCTCAGTCATTGGAAACGAAGGAAAATGAGAAATAATCATATCAAAATTTGGCTAAATGCTTTAAGATTAACGGAAACAACAAATAAATAACGTTGCCTTATCGAAAACTAATTAATGTTTTCATCTGATTTTTGCATGTGGGAGTCAGTGCATATATTCATATATAAAAGTCTAAAACAATTTTGAATATTTCGAGATCTATTCACACAACCTTTTGATCTTACTTGATAACATTTACACAGACATTGATGGCATATCTAAGTGGTTGTATCTTAGTCCTATTTTAGATAATTTCTATATAGTTCATTTATGTAAGCAAATATATTGATATAGATCCGACAGTATGAAGAAAAATATATGGAAAAACAAAAATCCGAATATGCAATTAACATTAAAACAGCATAATTGCATATTCGGATTTTTGTTTTTCCATATATTTTTCTTCATAGTTCATTTAGAAAACAACACTTTTAACAATTCTGATAAATTTATTATATATGTTCAATATATGTTCGATATATTGATGATATAAGTTATCGAAAAAACTGAAACAAAAAGAAAACAAACTTTGAAGAAAACATTTTTTTAATAATACAAGGCCCGAGGGCCACTCATTGTAGAGTATGACTAAATGTGATTGTTGTGTGAGATATAGGAGTAATTGGTGCTGTTTATGCGGATACATGGGAAAGATAACCGTTAACTGTTTTATATTTACGAACTCTATAAAAGATTCCTTTTCCTCAATGTTTTTTGTAGAGTCTTATAGTAATAATTTTATTACTTCATTATATAAAAAATAATTCCTTCATACCATAGCTTATCTTATAAAGGAAGAAGTAACATAAAGCAAAGAGGCTGATCAACAATAAATTCTCCAACCATGACATTGAAGAGCGAATAAAATTAACCTAAAAAAAGTTTAGAAAGCAATATGAAAATAACAATCATGATATAAAAAAATAAAAATATCATTAATTTATTCTATTGTAACCAAATGCGCCTTAACCATAAAAAAGATGTCAAAAACGTTAAAAATAAAATTCTTTGGTTCATATTGCATAATAATGTAATAAATATCAAGACTACAGATCAGGAGATTCGATGTTTTGAGGATCGTAGAACCAACTCCTAACAACTGTTGTTCCCAGATCCACCTTAACCCGGGGGTGGTAGCAACTATTAAGCTCCCTGCCATAAGAAAATAGTAAACCCCCAAACAAAACGGGTTATAGTAAAATGACAATAGAACACTAAAAAATGTATTAAAATATAATTTTATAGTAAAATTACCAGCGATACATTAAAAATAAATTATCAACAATACATTTAGGATCTACAAATTATATATCTAAAAGACACGTTTACCCTGAATTATGTGCAGAATATCTGTAGTTGAAAGCATACAATTACTTACAAATTATTTATATTTCGGTATTAAATAACCCATAGAAGTTGATATACGCTAAACAAAATCAGCCGACTAAAATAGTTAAAACATCTAATCTAAACACTACCCATCAATTGCTAGAAAAAAAAATAGCTTCCATGTAAAACCAATGATATTTAAGAATTCTCATGCTTTTTGGGAGATTGCATCTTTACTACTAATAATGAAAAAAATAACATTAATTTCTTACATTGGTTACATAAGCACTACACTCGTTCGTGGTTTAACTTTCTCCTCATCAAAACAATGCAATTCGTATAGATATCGACTATAAACAAACAACCAAAATAAGTCTTAAAATGAGACAAACATTAGTAAACTTCTGTAAACACAGACTGTAAAGAATGACTTGAAATACTAGAAGGTAAACACACTAAACCTTAATACTTGAAATACTAGAAGGTAAACACACTAAACCTTAATATTTTAAAATATGTTTAAAAGAATTTAAATTTACAAATTCAATATCTTCTTGCTTAATCTAGAAGTTACAAACTCAATAGCCAAAAGATACAGCCTAATTGAAAACAGAAATAAAATGTATCTGCCTTGCCTGAACTGACCTTACGCGTAACATCACTGACACGTTTGTTTAAATCACAATTATAGCGTTCCTAAAGATGCCAAATAATAAATCACATTTCTATAAGACACTGATGACATTAATATTCCTGATAATGTCTAGAGGTTTTGGAAAGTACTCATTCGAGTACTTTCCAAAACGTTATTAACATTGGGAAGTTTCTCCATAATTTTTATACGGATCTGGTTATACATTAATTGGAAGGCTATAAAAAAATTAAACAGCCAGTGTAGAGCATTAATCATTTTGATCGAATATTATACAGTGGAAATTTCAGATCAAAATTCAACTACGTTGACCTAGCTGGGGGATTAGTGAGTTAATCTCGTATCAGCTATTAGATGGAATATAAACACGCTATGTTAGTTTTTATCTATCTATCTATCTATCTATCTATCTATCTATCTAATCTACTATTCATCTATCTATCTAAGACTGTTCATCTATCTCTCTCTCTCTCTCTCTCTCTCTCTCTCTCTCTATATATATATATATATATATATATATATATATATATATTTTGATTGTTGACTTGAAATATCAGCTTCTCTGATCATTTTCGATTCCATCTTTCAACAGCATTTCTCACTGAAAGATAATCCCCCATATCACGCATAGATTAGTCAAGCACAGTATTCACAGTATTCACAGTATCCCCTGGTATGTGTTAAAGTTTATTCAAACAATATAGTTTATAAGCGGGAAAACACTCAATGATAACCTTTTCACAAGTCTACATTACTGCAAATAAAAGATCGAAATAATTTGACAACACCCTCTCAGTCCCTATGTTGAAACGAACTCCATTCTTGTGATTTTCTTGGTCAAATCAATCATACAAGTTCATTTCATTATTCCTTGCATCTGTTTGATATCCCAGATAAATTAGGATTAATTCTAGCAAGCTTCTGATCAGGAAATGCCTACAGTGATCGATCGACATAACAGTTCGATAATAACCGTGATCAGCTTGACGCACACTATGTTAAATAAGTTATTTCCTTTGATGTTCATAAAAAATATCGACCTATTTTGATTTTATAGCTCCATGTTTGTCTCCTTCACTTTACAAATGTCATGCACTTTACTCAAATCTTGAATTATTCAATATACCGATTTCAGCCGCGTGCACATCTCCGGCTGACGATGCTATTAAAATGGTCAACCAACTTTTTCTTAATAACAAAGATTTCATTGTTCTACCTAACGGTCTTTATCGTTTATATAAGAACAAAGGAAATACTTTCGAATAACACAATGTTTGTCTATATTTCTGAGATGAGGTATTATGTACAGTATTTACATTAGTCGGACTATTGTCAGTTATCTCGTGCTAATTTTCCCTCTGAAAGTTCTCCACTGCCTTAACCGGGTATTGAACTCACACTCTTTACTACCAATAATGAAAAAATCACTGTGCCATGTTTCCTCAAGGACACATGGCACAGTGGATAAAGGCGTTGGTTAGATCCAGTGACAGACCTTAAGAGTGTGAGTTCAATACCCGGTTAAGGCAGTGGAGAACTTTCAGAGGGAAAATTGGCACGAGATAACTGATAACTGACATCCATCAAAACATGGCACATGGAACTAGAACAGTCTACCCCAGTGATCGAAATAAAGGGTTCAGTTCGAAATTCCAACCACCTGAAGAAGGCCGGAGCATACAACGGCCGAAACGTTGTGACAAATATGGTGACAAAGATGAGGACAATAGTCCGACTAATGTAAATACTGTAACACAATGTTGTTAATCTTTATAAAAATGTTGTTAATCTTTACTAAACTGAGTAGAAATAATTGTGGATTCGAATGTAGCTTTGTAACTATCTCATATTTTATAGTGTCGTTTGTTAATAGTTTTAATTATTTATTATTTATTACTTTATTATCTGTTGTTGATTTGTATTATTACGTTTAATTGTGTTTATATGTGAGCACGTAGGTTTTAATTAATTTATTATTTACTTAATTTGTTTCTTTATTTCTTGCTTTGAATTATTTTATTTATTTTTCATTTTATTTATTTATTTTTTATTTTAGTTTTCGATTTTTAATGAAAGTATAAAAACTTTGTTTTTGTGTCTGAATTTGTCTTCTTTTTACACCCATGACAGCATTATTTAGAAAAACAAATATTTTACGATATTATCAGATTTTCTTAGCTGACGTCAAAATGGAAATGACAGTTGAAAATGCAGTCAGATTATATAATTTTTTTTAAGCCAAACTTTTCAGAAAATGTTCTTAAGTTCATTCGTTATGTTCTATTTTCCAAGATTGTCGGCAAGGGTTAATCATTTTACAATTAAAATGACTAGATGTAACCGTAAGTTCTATGCTAACAGTTTCTTCTATCGCACTTCTCGCTTGTGGAAATCTTCCGGTTTCTTGCTTTCCAGTCAACTTTGACCTTCAAAAAATAAAATGTTATTCGTTATCTTCTGTTCTTTTATTGTCATCCCCCCTTAATATTAATTTTCTCACATTCTTTCACTTTTAGTAAACCCTCGCGTCTTAATGGCTTTATTGCCTTTCTTGTAGGGAAATAATTAAAATAAATACATTAAATAAGAATACTTAGGTGATTATCCGTCATTTAAACATGTTTTATTAAATAGAACGAACAGATGATTATCTTTTGCTATCGAATAAGTCGTGTGATATCGAGTAAAGCAGTTACGGAAATTGTCAGTAAAAGTTTCTCATACTAAGTAAACCAAGTAGAAATGCATTCTCGAATAACTGACTGAAGTGAAAGCAAAATATTTGTAAAATATCTTGTGGGACATGGGGAACATCAGATAAACTGTCTGATTAATCTGTACTTTCGACAGATAATTTCAAAACTTTCTAAACCTGGATTCAATTATAAATGTCCTCTAAAAATTTCTTTTTTTAGGAATTTAATTTCATAACATGATATTATATTTCACTGCAATCAATCGGCAAAATATTTGATCTTATTTTCCGGGCATATATTCTATGAAAATGAAAGCTGCACTGGTTGCTTTAAACATTGACAACACTAGGTATCAATAGAAAAAATGATCAGATGAAAATACTTCCGATTTTGTTGTGTAGTGTTTGTGGCTTCGAGAGACATTTGAGAAATAACGTTGATATACAGTCAGTTGTATTGTCAATATATTTAACTTAGCAACGTCTTAAAGCTATATATAGAGAGTAAATAAGTAAATTCACAGTTCTGAGACTCATCTACCGTTTCTGAGTTTCGCAGATATAAGTACGCTTTTCAGAGGTGATAAATCAGTAAAAAATAAAGATGTGCCCAACTTTCATGGACACATAAATGGATACATTAATCAGTAAAATAAAGGGGTACTCAACTTTTATGGACTCGCGTGTGTTTCCCAAAGCTTTCAGGTGTTTTGTAAATTTTTAAACAGATCGAACATATGGTTGAAACATTATGATCGAGTGGTTGTTGATCAATTGCCACATGTTTCTGCGAGTTGGGTAATATGTCCGTGTATATTTGACCATCGTTTGCCATTTTCAAAGAGTGAAATTGGAATTTGAGACATAGCCTTGGGAGCGTTTCTGTTGTTAAGTTAGAAATGAATGTGATTTCATATGGTATAATGATAGAATAGATAACAGAGCCATGTGAGTGAAATGCCTTTACTATTCAAAGACATTTTAATACATGAGCGCCGAGATTAAAAATAAATGTTAATTGATGGTGGGTTACTGTCGTTCGTGATATAAGAAATTTAATCTGCCTGAACGTGTATCGTCTGCCTTTCAGAAAGAAAGAAGGCCCTACGGCGGACTATTGCTTAATTTTTGAATTTCGAAAATATTTTTGGTAGATTTCGATTTATAGGAAAGCAGCATTGTTCTTCATCCAAAACCTATAAAAGGGCTTCCCTTTCAAATTCAGATAAGTATATTTAGAGCCTACCTGTAGGTTATTTAAGCGAGAGGTCTTGGAGTTTTTTTTTTTTTTTGTTTTGTTTTTTTTTTTTTCGAACAACTCCCGCAGGCCCCAGGTCGCCCCGGTCCAGAAAGAAAGAAATTTAACAACCACCAGACAAGAATTGAAAGGAACATCAAATCTTTCCCACATCAAGGTTGGTAAACTTGTTCTACTCTTGGCTGTTACCACAAAATTTACTTCGAAAATTGTACAAAGAATTATTTTCTCTTTTTCTTCATTTTATGTAGTTTTCTTTTCTGTAGACCTTCTTATGCAGCGTTATAATTTTAAGTGTAAAACGGCAAATTTCATTTGCATTAATTCTTTTTACATACATGTTAATGGCCATCATTTGGCACACAATGCACTTAATTTGTGTAATTCATTCATTTTTGTATGTTAACAATAAATTTGTTGTCTGTTATTAGACTTGGCTCGTATCATCTGTCTTTGTTGTGTGTCCATATAAATTGAATGTTACCTCAAACACCATGTTTTTCGTGTTTTTTTTTACCAAAGAAAAAATCCTATAGAAGAGCCCCCCAAATTTTTAAATGTTTTTTTTTTTTGTTACAGCTGAGTTGTTATTGTACTGCTGTTTTGATGACCATAATTTGAAGGTAATTAACATTTTTTTTAAATGTCATGACCTCCAGAACGTAGGCAATCATGACAAGTTCCTTTATTTATTATTTGTAAATGTTATGTATTCATGAAATGGTTTATGCTTGCTTTTTATATGTTTTCAATTCAGAGTTTTCTTTCTCAAGGTTATGGAGCCCAGTATATATCCAACTATTTAACCCATAGCTGCGGTGGAAGAAGATAAGAAGGTCATTTGTGTAAATGTGAACGTTGCCATACATTTGGAGTCGGTCGGAATTTCATTTTTCGCGTAGTTACACATTGCATTTTCCACACATCCTAATTTTTAAATAGTATTTTATTAAATCTTTTTCTGTATTATTTTCTTTGAAATAATTTTTGTAAAATGGTTTAAGTTTAATAAAAGTTTTAAAGACACAATATTGCTGATTGAGCCAATTGCGGCTTAGTGAAACCGGTTGGTGATTCGCGGATAGTGAGATCATAAAGTGCTTGATGAAAAGGAACATGTGAGATATATGTCAATACATGATACATTCAAAATACATAGATACGAGCAGTGTTGAAAAGTTTTAAGCCTGGTCAAGAAGAGGGTCTCATGATAAAATTCTGATGTTTGGTCCTTTGGTTAGTTGGCAAGTGGGTCAGGCCTAGACATTTTCAGCACCCTGACCTTTGTCTATATTTGTCAGTTCTAATGAAATTTTCACCTATTTATATACTTGATTGCTTGTTTCTATCAACTGTCAGACTATTTACATATGTGAGTCGTGTTTTTCGAAACACCTTGTCTGACAAACCTACTAGTTAATCATCAAATCTTTTCTCTCACCAGTTCTTTCTGTCTACATTCACATAGGTGCATATTTATGCATATCTACACCCACATGTGTGTGTGTGTGTGTGTGTGTGTGTGTGTGTGTGTGTGTGTGTGTGTGTGTGTGTGTGTGTGTGTGTGTGTGATAAGAGAAGATAGAAGAAAATAGTCGGGATGTGTTCACAAAATCGTGGCGTGATCAGAATTTCAATATGCCACATCGTCTTATTGTTCGTAGTGTACGTCGGCCGCTCTTTTTCGCCTACTAAAACAAATAAAACGTGAACAGGAAATAAAAAAAAGACTGGGCAGGACTGTTTTTTTTCTTTACAATCGAATAAACGCCTTCAATATTTAAGTGGACATAAAATCCCGCGTGATAATCACTGTGAGACAAGTTGTTCGGAAACGCCTTTCCCGCCACCTGTCTGGACTTTTCTTTTTTTTAAAGAAAAGATCCTTTCCACCCTTATCTTCTATTTTCTTTCATCCTCAACATTTCATTTCTCTCTTTCTTTCTTCTCTCTGCGTTTCATTTCGTTTCTTTCTTTCTTTCTTTTAACTTCCTTCCTTCCTCCCTCCCTCCCTCCTTCCTTCCTTCCTTCCTTCCTTTCTTCCTTCCTCCCTCCCTCCCTTCCTTCCTTCCTTCCTTCCTTCCTTCCTTCCTTCCTTCCTTCCTTCCTTCCTTCCTTCCTTCCTTCCTTCCTTCCTTCCTTCCTCACTCCCTTCCTTCCTTCCTTCCTTTCTTCCTTCCTTTTTCCTTCTTTCCTTTTTCCTTCCTTCCTTTTTCCTTCCTTCCTTCCTTCTCTCCTCCCTTATATTTTTTCTGCTTTCTTTTCTACAATATTTATTTCCTATTTGCTTTCATTTTCCTCTCCGATTGTCTTCTTTCTTTCCTTCCTTCCGTCCGTCCGTCCGTCCTTCCTTCCTTCCTTCCTTCATTCCTTCCTTCCTTCCTTCAAATCCTTCCTTCAAATCCTTCCTTCCTTGTTTCCTTCCTTCCTTCTCACCCCTCTCTTCCATCTTTTCTATTTTTTATTTTCTTTTTATTTCATTCCTCCCTTCTACATTTCCTTCTTTCTTTATTTCCTTCCTCCCTTCATTATTTATTCCTTATACTGCATTTTTTAGCACTTATTATTCATTTAGATTCTCTTTCTTTAATTTGTAAATGTCTTTTTTTCATTCCCAACCTCTCCATTTCTTTGTTTTTTTCTTAAATTCACTTTTTCTTGTTTTCATTACTACTTGTTGCTTTTAATTCATTCATTTGATTTTCTATTTCTTTTATTTATTTCAATTCATTTTCCTTAAATTTATTTCCTTTCTTCACTTTTTTCATTCCTACTTTCTTTAACATCTTTTTTTCATGTATTTCTTTCTTTTCGAATCGTCTTTCATTCTGCATGCATTCTCCCTTATTTTACACCACCTACATAGGCTGTTGTCTTCAAAAACAGAATATCTGCCATTATTTCCACCCTCCTCCCTGATGGGAACAATGAACACTCGAGCAAGCAAGCGTCTCATCGGCCATAATGTGTTCTCCAGTGTTTATTTCAGTTACAAAATGGTCGACAGTCTCTCCAACGATCAGTTTTAATTCAGTCAACAGTGGAAGCGGAGGAGGCAAAATCTTCTTTCTGAATTAAAACGAAAATTTCATTTCCTCACAAACGAGGCTTGCTAACAATGAAACAAGACGAATCGGAAGTTTATACAGTTTCCTCAAGGTTTCTTCCTCAGAAGACATATCACATTTGAAGAAATGCAATAAATTATTCATTTATTTAGGTTTTAATCATTTCACTACAAGCAAGGCAATAAAGCCACTGAGTATGATGGAATATGAGAAAATCCTCGTTTAAGAGAGAGGACAATAAAAGAACAGGAATTAAGAAAACAGAAGAAAAAGTTTGACATTGCATTTAAATGTTTGAAAATCAGAGTTGACTGGAAGGCAAGAAACCGGAAGAGATTTCCACAAGTGCGAGAGGAGAAGAAACTGTTAACATAGAATCTACGGTTATATCTAGCCATTTCAACTGTTACATTATAAGCCAATCTAGTACTGTACTTAAATTCATAAAGTAACATAGGAGAAAGATTATCAGAATAATTACTATGAAAATATTTAAAGTCACAGGGAAGTTATGTTACGGCGGGAAAAGTGACAGAGGACGAGATGCCAGGTAAGGACAAATAACATTACATTTTCTTCTTTGTATTTTATCAAGAACCTGTAATTGTATCGCAAAAGCAGCAGACCAGATGTGACAACAAATATCCAAACCATGGACGAATGCATGGATTAGTTAGAAAAATACCAGTTTACTTACCGTATTAGAAAAATTATACCGAAAAAACACGTTTCTTAAATGTAAAAAAATGACATTTTGCAGTCAACAAAATTACATTGAATGATGGTTCATATTTATGGTGAAAATTAGTCTCGCTTTTCAAACTGAATCCGCACTTATTTTTATTAACAAAATTTAAAAAAAAATCCTCTGTTATAACATCTGTGGTAGCCATTAATAGAATTTTTTTCGAAAAGAAAAGGTCACGCCTTCATAGTCCCATGGGATAAAGAATTTTACGCAGAGACTTTTGTAAAGGCAAATGCGAATGTAAATCCCACATTAAAAATTAACATTAAAATAAAAGTTGCTTACATCTGGAGACACTCACAAAATGCCAAGCTAAACAATGGGTCAGCATCACTTTTGATGTAATGGCTATAAGGATTAGTCGCCGCATCGGGCGAATGATTTGATGGATCAGTTTTTTAGCAGTCACTTCATTCTCATCCTTCAGCGATGGGTGTTGTTTTGAAATAAATTTGAAAATGGCATAATCCCTAGTGGCAGACGTTGTTCGGTCGGGCTTTATCAATCAATATCTAAAAACACACCATCAACGCACTCATTACCAGCAACGATAAATCTTCATGACACCAAGAAATGAATCGGGTAAAGACGTAAATGAATGTCGGTTGGCAATGCAAACACTCCTTCTTACAGACAGAGAGACAGACTGACTGACAAACAGACAGACAGACAGACAGCAATCACCCGTAACAGAAATTCAATGCAGTTTTTCTCCTAACTTTTCACCTCATGGTTTCAACAATCAACATTTTTAAATTAACTAAATCAAGTTGCTTTGTTCGGTTATAAACTTACTGATAAAAGAATTTTATTCGTTTCTGTTTTCTAAAAATGGTCATCAATTTAAAGAAAATATAAAAAAAATAAAGTAATTTTTTTTCGTTGAATTTATTACTGCGCATTTACGGCGTTTTTCGCGTAGTTTACATATGGTTCAAGGCTGAAAGTATGGGGTACTCAGTGAGGATCCAACTCCCTATTCAGTCGTAAATGTTGTAGTGAGACAAGCTTGCTAACCATTATACCACGTCGCAGTTCAGCGTTGTTTTCCTAGGCTTAGTTTAGATGTGATCGTTGTGATGGTGATTTTTAAAAAACGGGTATGAACACGCTCTGTTATAATTATTTTAACATTTTAAATTCACCCGTTGCAGATATGAACTTTTGCAAATCAAGCGTTCTAGCATAAGGGAGATAACCAGAAATTGGTGGAAATGCAAAATATATATTGCTATATTAAGAAACAACCTCAAAAAGTCCAAAGAAAAACTTCCTCTACCTGTCTATAAATTTATAAAACTACATAAACTAATCACTATATTCGATCTGTATTTAATACTAATTCATAAAAATTTATACATTTCCCCATATATATACAATATATAAACTTTATATATCAGACAAATGGTAGATAGATTGAAATGGAAAAATGCTACAAAAGGGCTTCTTCAGAATAAATAATAATCTTATCGATGGGATCATGAATATTTAAGGAAAGAGAACAGAATACAACGTCCGTTATAATTATACACCGTAAGAAAAGACTTTAAATTATTTCTTTTTAGTGTCCGATGTGTCTGACCAACGTTAAGTTTCCAGCTGTTTCTGATTTTGCTTTTATCGCTGATGTTTTTAAATATCCCACATTGTAATAGCAGGGGTTTTGTTAATAAACGTGACGTATTGTATGATCCTGACCGTATATTTACTGTGTAAGACTCAGAAATCAGTGCACTTTCTATACATTTTCGGCTTAATAAATTACTTTCTCTTTTAATATGGATATACAAATTGTGAGATATTCATAAAAATATGAAAAACCCAAACAGATACATATTACGAAAAGCATGGCAAATTAACAACCACAGGAAATTAACATAGAGGAAAATTTCTTCTTTTTTTTTGTTTTATTTAAGCAAATAAAAATAATTTTCGAAAAACTCTCGTCGATTTTAACTGCTGATAATTCAAATAGCTTGATATTGGAAATCGTGTTTTTAATCTTATTGCAATAGAAATTGATCGATGCCCAATAACCTTGAAGTTTTAAGGCCAGTCAACTGCCGTCTTTGTCCATTCAATCCTTCGTGTGCACGCATCTCTCTTTTCAGTAAGCATGTATTTCCGGTTTGATTTGTTTTATTTTAAATTTTCTCTTTTGTATTTGTCTTCTTTCTTTGTTTCTTTCTTTCAATTTCAATCCAACTCTTTCCATTCACATACTAAGAATTTCTTCTTTTTTTTTTAATTTCTTGTTTCGCATCGCCTGGGTCGAACATAGAAGTTCGATATGCTTCGTCGCATAAAGAAGCCTATATATTAACAATTGCTGTGACGGGAATAAACAATCGATATTGGCTTACCAACATCGCGGTGTTTAAATTGAATTTTCTTCTTACGCTTTGGGCTATTGGGGATTGGGTGTTTCATTCTTTTGACTCAAATATCTTCAGATTTCTTCTTTTTTTTTATATCCATGTACAGCGTTTTCCCTTGGGAGATATATTTTCCGTGGTTACTTAATAAGGCATAGATGAATACCTGGTTCGGTGTACACCAACTTTTTCTTTCTTATATATATTTCTCTCTGAGTTCTCAACAATTTGTCGCTATCTGTCTCTCTTTTAATCTATGATCTACACTTCATATCTATGAATCTATTCCTAGAAAAAATAAATAGAAAGATTAACGTGTCCTGGCGTGTATTGCTTCCAATTTTCATGTGTTTGTTTAATACAGTTATTTTTGGTGATCTTCAGCGCTATCAAATGTATTCCACTTTCATATATCATAAACTGGATTTCAATTTGATGCGTAAATGATTAAGATGCAACTGTGAGTACGAAGAGGTGATGAAAAGTTATCAAAACAGATTTTTGAAGCGCTTCTTTGTTGCACGAGAAATTTTCAATATTAATATCAATATATATATATATATATATATATATATATATATATATATATATATATATATATATATATACTAACTACACTAGCAAGACGTCTTAAACAACAGATGTCTGACCATCCCTCCATTGCGAGACACTTACAGTAACATTTCTGCTCACATTCACAATATAAAAAATTACTGATCCTATCAACTATCCTACAAGGAAATAATAAATTCAAGCTACAGATCTAAGAAGCAATTTATATTAAAAAAATTAAAGCCGACACTGAACAGATTTTTCATGCTTAAATCGCGCATGACCATGGCATTATAACATAGAAGTACAAAATTCCGTAATGGATAATTTTTTCACGTTCTAATGAACGCTCAGCACATTGTCAACTGTTTGCATTTAAAAGTATAATGAAAAATTACCGTAATGGATAGCAACGCACAACTTTGTATATATACCTATACTCTTGAACAACATATAGTCTTGTATTACTTGCACCCCTGAAGATGATCTTGAAAGAAGATCGAAAGTACGTGGGAAATGAAAATAAAAGAAATTTAAACAGTTATAGCACATTTATTTCATCCTTTAATATCAATACATGGACTTTGTTAAAAATTAGTAGACATATGTCTGTAAAAATTAATATATATATATATATATATATATATATATATATATATATATATATATATATATATATATTTACATGTGTGTATTTAGGCAGCATATTTTCATTCAAACAGGATTTGTTAAATATTTCAGATATATCATGTCGATTTATTTTGGTTGTGATCCTACCAATTTACGGATTCATTTCTTGGTAGCCTTAGAAAAT